ATAGTGTTGTACGGGGATACTGAGACGTTCCCGAACGCAGACGCTGTGACTCTCGTGGGAGCAGAGGTGTTTAAGGGGAATTTCTTGGAACTTCTCATTAGGAACATTGGTTCCCTGTCTCTTGATGTAAGTGTTGCCGTTGGTGTGCTTATTCGCCTGTCCTCTGAATTTGAGGTTCTGAAAGTTGTATTGATAGTTGGCATTTATTGTGTGCAGTCAAAACGGTATGCGGTGCATATCAATGCGAGCCTGCAAAAGAGGCAAATTCAAAATCGCATGGTTGCGGGCGAGTACCTTATGCAACACACGGACCTTCTGGACCTTCTCATAAAAGGGTATGGTCGAATCGGCATCAAGACAGTGCTGGTGGAGGGCTCACATAATGTACTCATTTTGATGCAGATACGAGGATCCAGTTCTGGCACTCTACTACGGCTTGATGCTTCGGGAATGCATTCGCCACCAATCGGTTGCAAAGTATGCATCAGGTTGAAGCGTGCGGTTGTTCCGTTAGTGGCATTGCCTGCTTGATGATGACTGAGTTTTTTCGTTGCAGGTACGTCTTGGAGAGCAAAGACTTCTTCAAGTTCTTCCTCCATGTCGAACTACCCAGTTTTGAAGTTTCTTCTGATGCTGCTGCAACATTTAGGGTACATCCTTGTTTATCACTGGCTATTCTCTCCTTTTCTCACGCACCTCTGACTTACTGAGCATCTTGAGTATTTTGTGTTCGCAGGAGCTCTTGATGCGACACAAGGCCACAGCAGCTGATTTTGTATTGAGGAATTATGCCAAGGCAAATGATTGAATGCTGGAATCAAGCCTGCTCTACGTTATGCCTTAATGACTTGGACTAAAGCCATCTCATGCTTTCCTGTTGCAGTTTTTTGAAGCGTACACCAAGTTGTTGCAGTCATCTTCCTACATTACGAGGCGTGTTGCAACCAAGGTTGATTTCATCTCGTCTTTCACCTCGTTTGATGTCATTTTATCCTCTGGAACTCTTCCTTTCTCTCTTGTGCCTGTTGCTGTCTATCCCTTTCTTCACTACAAACAACCTGGTAATTCTTTTGGAGCCAACTTTTTTATACTATTTGTCTGTTTACAGCTTTTGGCAGACATGCTTCTGGATCGTGCCTATGTCATGGTGACCTTGAGATTTGCGAGTGATGTCAACAACCTGATTGTATCCATGAACCTCCTGAGGGTAATCGGTGGCTCGATGGGCTTGCATCTTTTTCCATTGCGGCCATTTATTTGATGTATGAAGCTTTTCCCTCTTTTTTATTCCAGGATACAAGTAAAGTGATTCAAGTTGATGCGTTTCACATCTTCAAGGTGTGTAGGGTCAAATGCCATACCAAGGAGGTGCAACTTCAATCTCGATACCTTGATTGTAACACTCATCCACCCACTGTGTTTTTTTAGGTGATTGTGGCCAACCCGAAGCAGCCACAAGATGTTCAGCTGATCCTTCTTAAGAACAAAGATAAGCTGCTTCGTTTCCTGCCAGCCCTGACACTTGAGAAAGGAACAGAAGCAGGTATATCTTTGGGATTTTCCGACCACAACGCATGCGCTGCACAGGGGCTCTTTTCACGCTCGTTTCTCAAGTCCCGTTTCTCATTTTCCATTTGCAGAAATTTCCTCGTTCGAGGAAGACAAACAAGCTATTTTGAAAGTAATTGAATCAATGCAGCTTCGTGACATCTCCACTGAGTCCTGACACCAGGGCCTCAGATTCCTTTTAAGTACCCTGACATATCAGTGTCCATGTGAGAAAAAAGGCTGACTGACAGCCTTCGTAGAAAATAAGGCCTGAATATTCAGGGTTACTAAAAAGAAAAGCCCGATTTCTACACAAACATATTAGATTATTCATACAGCATTTATGAAACATGGTAGCAAAGGGTCTTGAACCTGGGATCTTTCACTTCGGTAATGAACTGAGACTATTCATGCTGGTAACCCACTGCAGAAATGTTGGAGTCCCCGTAATCTCAGTGTTGTGCAGAAAGGATGGAATGTGCATTCAGTGTACACATTCGATAAAATGCTGATAAATCAGTGTTGACTATGAAATAAAGGCTGATTAATCAGTCACTAAAATCAAGAGACTGAAAAATCAGTGTAGGTACAAAAAAGTATGCCGAAAATCAAGAATTTCAGGGAACAAACCCTGATACCGTAAGCCCCCGGATAGAAGCGCAGGCCTCGGATAAGCGCCGGCGCTTATAAAAGGATGAGGGTGCTTATATCCGGTCCTCGATTATAAGCACACCCCTGAAGGCTTACGGATTATAAGCGCCACCCTCTTCTTTTTTAATATAATTTTACTGAAATCGTTGTAACGAAACTCAACATTTTCATTCCCACAATTTGAATTTCGATGCCCCCTCACCCTCGCCCAGCTCACTGGCAACGCGTCCAGTCAGAATGAGCTGTCAAGGGCGCACGTTGACTCATTCTGACTGTGTGTGTTGGCAGAGGGAGTCAATCCTTACCAACTTGCACGCGAGATTCTCAATCACAGCCTTGTACAGTATAGTTTCACATTCTGACTGTGTGTGTTGGCAGGGAATCAATCCCTGCCAACTTGCATGCGAGATTCTCAATCGAACCCTGTATAGTTTCGACTCGATTCAATTCGCAAGAACGGGATCTACAGTTTGGTGGAAAAACAACAAATTTCATATATGCTATTATATAAGCACCGGCGCTTATAAAAATCCTCAATTATAAGCGCACCCCCTAAAAAAACGTGTTTTTTTATAACCCCAGGGCCGCTTCTATCCGGGGGCTGACGGTATATGAGGGCCTGCCTGACACGCGACTGGTGGTATCATTAGTTGGTTTGAAGGCTGCACTAGCAGTCTGATTTGTGGCACCTATTATGGTAAAAAGTAAGTAGAGGAGGCACAATAGATAAGAAGTTTCAGATGTTCAGAAAATCTTAGTATGGATTCCTGAAGCAAACCGTAACGAAGGGAACATGGAAGATGAAGCGGCAAGTGGTCGCGGCGGGGATCCTGCACACCCGACCATAGCTCAGGATCAAATATGGAAGGTGAACCAGCGTCTTCTGGGCAGCAGCAGTTCAGTTCAGTGCCCCACCACACCCTGCTTGAATGCGGTAACTTCCAGCTTTGTCATGAAGAGGTATGAACGAGCGAGGCGGCGAGTATTGATGCGAATACTGCCACTGCTCTATGACCTCCATCGCTCAGCAGAAGCGGTTGCTAAATCCGTTGCACTCTTTCCCGTGAGGTAAATGTCTGAGAAGCAACTGCCATGGGTAGGGAGACGCGCTCTTGGCGCCTCGCAGCTTCACTGCTCTCCAAAGACTTGGCCTCCTTGGTCCAATTTCAAGCCACGCTCTCGATTTCGCTGCCTTCTGCTCACCGCTCTCCTCCGCCGTGACCCTCAAGCGTCTCTAGGTTGCTCCCCAGCGTATTCGTAGCCTTTTCACCAGACGCATTCGCATTATTTAACTACTGTACATACCTCGCTAGACTGCGGCCCGTGACATCCTCAAATTCGTTACTTTTGCCCAATCCAAGCCCGCACGAGTATCCTGAACGAGGCTGCCAGCTGCCAGCGTTCCGGTTGTAATCAACATCCTAGCCTAGACCCCAACCCCTCAGCTCCCCAGGCTCCCCGTCTCTGTCGTGTCGCACATATCTCGTACAAGTTCTCTTGACGATATTTTTGCCCGACCTTTCTTTAAGGATTGCCAGATCCAACGTAGCCTTGTAGCTACTTGTTTCCCGAAGTAGCAATCTTCGATATCCGCCTTCCATGCGAGAACGGTCCAGCTAGTTTACCAGCCGTAATAGCGTCCACGAGAGAGAAGAGAAGCACCTAAGGATCGGGAACTCTTTGTTCAACATACCACTTCATGACTCCATAGCTTCAGAGGGATAGAGGGAGCTCGTGTAGGCCACACGCACACGGACATCAATCCGAAGTGTGTGCTCTCTTCAGAAGCTTGACACAGCTTACTCCCCGCACGCACGTCATTATCAAGCCTGTGCTCGCTCGAGTGCACTAACGAGCTTTGTGCCACGAGCAAGGCTTTGATCACAGCGAGATTCAAGTTTTTCAGGAGTTGTGAAAGTCTCCTCGCTCCTGCTGACCAGCCAATGCTTTCCATGGGTCTTGCAACTTCTCATCAATTGCCTGCTATCCACGCCTCAAGGCGCTTCAAAACAAGCCCGATTCCAACTCTTGTGCTGGTTACCACTCTTGTGGTGCTTGCTGCGTTTCACGGTCAAGCGAACGCCGCAAAAACTAGCAACAGGAGCAGCAGCAGCAACAGCAGCAGCAGTGGAGAGGGAGGGGGTGGGGGGGTGGTGTGGGAGTTGGAGGAAGGGCGAGTCGTGAATCCTGGTTTCACAAAGTCCAGGACGACAGATAACCCCGAGTGGCTCGCCAACCTGCAAGGTGAGCTATCGAATCCACCCCAAAGTCCTCTTCAAAGTACATCCATTCTCTGCTGACTTTTGAGGCGCCTCAAAAGTCGTTTTGAGGCGCCTCAGAAGTTGGTTCGCCAAGATGCAAGGTGAGCCACCGAATTCACTCCAAAGCCCTCCTCTTGTCCTGAACCTCTCCTAATGTAATCTAGAATTTGCGACTGCTCTTCTCTCTCCCCGGTCGTTTTCCTGTCCCCTCTCTCCTGCCTCCCGCCTATCTGCTACCCTCTCCAGTTTCCCCCTCCCCTCACTTTTATCCCCTCTTCTGTCTTCTCTCTCCTCTTCTGTCTTCTCTCTCCTCTCCGCTCGCTCGTTCCCCTCCCCTCCTCTCTCACCTCATTCGAATCAAATCCTGCAGCCGGATTGTTCATCAACTGCGGAGGACCCAACGTGACCACCCTCTGGTTCGCCGACAGCACTGCCATCACTTGGACCTCCGATGCCCCTCTCATGACCCTCGGCGCGCCCTTCACTATCACTCCTGCTGCTGCTGGCAACCGGAGCAACAGCAGCAGCTCAACGCCCTTGATGGGCATACGGCCGTTGGCAGGAGTGCAGCGGAACGGGAGTAGTGCTGCAGGGAATGGTACCAGTGGAAGGAGCAACGGCTCGATTGTAGAATTTACTGTCAGCACTTTCAACAGCACTGCCGCCAACGGCACTGCAACCAACGGCACTGCAACCAACGGCACTGCAACCAACGGCCTCACAACCAACAGCACCACAAGCACCAGCTCTCCACCCACCGCTGCTCCATCCCGCACACCTTCCAGCATACCTATACCCTCCCCCAAGAACAAGACCTCCACGACACCTTCAGACACCATCCCAATCACCCCTCCCTCAACCGAATCCAAAACCCTCCTCACCTTCTCCGACCCCTCTCTAGCCCTCATGGCGCCCATATTCGAATCCGCCAGGGCGTTCAACGCGCGGGATGCACTCACTCTCTGGTACTCTCTCCCTGTGCCCGAACCTGCCTACTACGTGGTGCGGCTGTACTTTGCAGAGCTTGTGAACCGAGTGCCAGGAGCAAGGCGGTTCAATGTGAGCGTGGAGGGAACCGAGGTGCTGCCTGCGTTTGCCATCGGGCAACGGTTCCCCACTGTGGATCGCACCCGCGCAGCTGCTGCTGGGGCTGCTGGCGGTGGTTTTGGGCGGGGTTTCAGTGGTATCAGTGCTGCCAAGGTTGTTTCGACGGTCACGAACAGTGACCTTGTTAGCATAGCCAGCAGCAGCAGTACTGCTGCCGGAAGTGGCAGCAACACCAGCGCCAATACCGGCGCCAACATCAGCACCAGGCTTACCAACAAGCGCAGGAACAATAGGAGCATCAGCAGCAGCGCCAACAGCAGCGCCAACAGCAGCGCCAACATCACCAACAGTGCCAACAGCACCAGCAGCAGCGCCAACAGCACCAGCAGCAGCGCCAACAGCACCAGCAGCAGCGCCAACAGCACCAGCAGCAGCGCCAACAGCACCAGCAGCATCGCCAACAGCACCAGCAGCATCGCCAACAGCACCAGCAGCATCGCCAACAGCACCAGCAGCATCGCCAACAGCACCAGCAGCAGCAGCAGCAGCGGCGGGGCTGTGGAGGGCGATGTGGTTCGGGGCCATGTGGTGGAGGTGTATGTGCCGGTGACAGACGGCTCTGTGGACGTGTTCTTCACCTCGGGGGACATCGGTGACCCCGTCATCTCCGCCATCTCTGTAAGATCATGCCAATGCTGGAACGTTGCTGCCTGGGTTGGTGTAATGATGTTTGATTTGAGGTGCCTCAAAAGACAGCGCCTCTGTGGACGTGTTCTTCACCTCGGGAGACACCGGCGACCCCACCATCTCCGCCATCTCTGTAAGATGCTACCATGTTGGTGTGGTGATGGCGCTCCTGATGCTGCCGTTGGTGTGGTGATGTTTGAGGCTCTTCAAAAGACAGATGGCTCTGTGGGCGTGTTCTTCACCTCGGGGGACACCGGCGACCCCATCATCTCCGCCATCTCTGTAAGTGTCAGGATGCTCGCCGCCGCTGCTGCTGTGATGGCGCTGTTGGTGGTGATGGTGGTAAGGACGGGATGGGAGACAGGGATGGTCATGAAAATCGGGAACCCTTCGTTGTACTCCTGTTCCGCTTACTTTTTCCTCTCTCACGTCCTCTTTTCACCCCCTAACACCCTCACTTATTCCCCCCCACACTCTCACTTCTTTTCCTCTCAGACACACACTCCCACCCTCACTACTCCCCCACACCGCTCTTGACCTTCTCCCCCATCCTACCCCCTTTGCCACTCTGCTCATCTCCTTAAGATCTGGTCCTTGTTCTTGTGTATGCCTTTCCATGCTGCGCTCTCATCCGCCCCTTCACCTCTCCATCCCCTCCCTTTTTTCTCCTGCTATCAACTCTCATATCGTAAACCCTCTCTCTTTCACTTTGTCCTTCCCCCAGGTGCTCGAGTGCCCAAAAGGAATGTACAACCTCACAGCACCGAACAGCACCGCTGTGCTTGGTATGGTTACCAGTGCTACACACCTCGCAAATGCTACGCTCTCACTCTCTCCTGCAGGCCACATCATGCATGGCAATCCTCCACTTTTGCACTCTACAGTTGTGCTGTGCTCTACTCGTGCTATCTACACCTGTGATGTATGGCTGTGCTTGGTACGCATGCCATGCCTGTGCCTCCCACACCTCGTATATGCTGCGCTCTCACTCTCTCTCTCTCTCTCTCTCCTGCTGGCCAGACCACTCCAGTCCAGTCATGGCACTCCACTGTTGCACTCCACTGTTGCACTCTTTTTTTGTTAGGTGCTTCAAAAGCACTCACTCTCTCCTGCTGGCCAGGCCACTCCAACCGTGGCATTCCCCTGTTGCACTCCTCAAATGTGCTCTACTCTTGGCTCCATACTGCTGTCATGTCATGCATGCTTGTGTTGTGCTTGGTAGGTCGAGGCTCACACATGCACAGAGGGCGACCACATACTAATAAACACATACACATACTGGTAGTTGGGGGGCACATAAAAAGGAAAGGGAGCACTTTAGTTGCCTTGCTGCAAGCTAACCAGCCAGCTTCCAGCAGGACCCTATCCCATCCCTCCTTCCCTTCCACCATCGAACCACCTTTCAACCACCCCCCTCCCTCACTCTGCCCTCCCCCACACCACACGCCACGCCATCCAGCCTCGCTCTACCACATGAGGGCGGGACTGCCGCCCAAATTTGTGATGTATACATTGTGCTTGGTTGATCAATTTAGACCGTTCCGCCCCCCCTTGTCCCCATCCAGCTTCGCTGTACCACATTGGGGCGGGATTGACACCCAACTCGTTCTTCCTGGACGCCATTGGCCGCTCGTGGCTGCCTGACACGCCGTACCTTGCCGCCCCTTCGCCGGCCAACACAATGACTGTGGACAACGCTCCTGGGGTGAGTGGGAACGCTCAAAAGTTGCCAGACCTCCTCGCTCCCCATGATCCTTCTTTCCTCAGCTTCATGTAACACCGAGTAACAACCTTCTTCAATCATTTCGATCCACATCAGTCATTCGGCCCTCGCTTACACCCATTCATCGTCCTCCCTTTTTCCTTGCGTCATTTTCTTTCTACTTCCTTTCCTTGGTCCCTTCTGTTTTCACTCTCCTTTGTCAACCGCCTACTGTCTTCAGCTTAAATCTACCTAATGCTCTACGTATGCCTTCCTGATTTCTCTATCATTCACTCTCCTCCATCTTTCGTCCCATTTGACTATCTCTCTCTCACTCCCCTGCTTCCTCTGTTCACCAATCATCGGCCTCCAATACCCACCCACCATGTCTCCCTTCCCCTCACTCGCCGTATCTCTGCCCCACTCTCCTTCTCTCAATTCAGTCACTTCCTGCTTCACTCAATCTAGCTCCCTGCCTTCACTCTCTCCCCCTCTCCCTCTCCCCCCCGCCCACAGATTTACAACTCGCTGTTCTCAATGGAGAACGGAGACAACCCCAACATGCCGCCAGATGCCGTATTCACTGTCAGTACTCCCTCCCCTGCCTCCATGCCGTATTCACTGTCAGTACTCCCTCCCCTGCCTCCATTCCGTATTCACTGTCAGTACTCCCTCCCCTGCCTCCATGCTTGCATCTAAGCCTTACGGCTCATCTCTCGAGCACGCGCCCCGTCTCTTGCATTCCACCGTGCGTGCCTCTCGCACGAATCTCGTCGCCTCACCAATCTGCTCTGACTTTCGCCCCTCTCGCGGTTCGTTTGTCTGCCAGACTGGGAAAGCAAGCAGATGGGGGCGTGAACCCTCAGCAAGCAGATGGGGGCGTGAGCCCTTAGCAAGCAGATGGGGGCGTGCGTGTGCCGGCAGCAAGCGAAGCGAAGCCAAGCCACCAATCGCATCCACCCCTTGTTTCTGCGTTGCATCGCGTGCATCACGCCCGCCTCTGACAAACAACCCTGCAGAAATGGCGCACAACTGTGAACGGGCACGAGACGGAGCCGCAGGCGCGGTTCAAGGCGCACACGCTGCAGTACGTCTTCCCCGTGCCGCCCTCCACGCCCCTTGCTGTCTTCCTCGGCTTCCGAGACGGGCTGTTTGATTTTCCGGTACGACGGGCTGTTCTGTTTCATGCCATACCATGCCACACGCCATGCCACGCCACGCCACGCGCCATGCCACGCCACGCCACGCCACGCCACGCCACGCCACGCCACGCCACGCCACGCCACGCCATGCCATGCCATGCCATGCCATGCCACACCATGCCAAGTTATGCCATGCCATGCCTCGCCATGCCAACCCATGCCATGCAGCACCATGCATACTGTCCCATGCCATGGCCTTTCATTCTCTGCGTACACCCACCATGCACCTGCTTGTGCGCACTGCCCTGCACTGTTTGACATTGTTGCTTTACTGTCGTGTGTTTCTCACGTGCTGCTACATATGCTGCTATCGCATGTTCTGTGACATGTGCTGTGACATGTGCTGTGACATATGCCATGGGATGTGCGGCGTTGCACGGGACCACATGGAATGGCATGGCGTGGCGTGGCATGGTATGGTATGGCATGGCGTGGCATGACGAGGCATGGCGTGGCATGGCGTGGTATGGCGTGGCATCACATGTGGCACATCAGGGGGCGCGCTTCCTGCAAGTGTTCGTGGACGGTCAGCTGGCTGTGAAGCCCTTTGATGCCTTTGCTCCGCCCGCCAACTATTTGGCCAAGGAGCTTTACGGTGAGATCATCTTTTTCCTCTCTCCCCCCCCCGTCGCTCTATTCTTGAGGTACCTTGCTCTATTCTGATGCGCCTTATGCTCCTCCCTACCCCATCTCCTTTTACATCCCCCCATCACCTCACTTTCATCTCCCTCCACACATCTTCTGTCCTCCTTCTGAGTCGACTCGAAAGTCAACTCTGCTTACGCTCCTCCCAACCCTATCTCCCTTTACATCCCCATCACCTCTCTCCCATCCCCCGCCGCACATCTTCTGTCCTTTCTCCCATTCATCCCCTCTCTGCATCGCCTCTTCCTGTCACGTCTAAGCCACCACATCTCCCTAACCGATCCTCTTCCTTTGCCTGCTTTCCCCTCTGCTTCGCCACTGCCTGTAACCCCTTGCCCCACCTGCCTCTGCCAGTCACCAGCAACGCCTCTGGCTTTCTCACTATCGAGATTGCCAACGCCAATTACACCGGCTTCACATGGTATGTACTATGTATGTATGCTGCCCGCGCCTTACTTGGATTCTTGAGTCAACTAAGGGGGGGGGTGTCCAGTCCAGCTCGTACGTTTCTTGTACGTTCTTAGCGGTCTAGTCCGTTGTGTCACGGTGCATAACGGTGAAGCGCGAGAATCGCTCTACACCGTTTCTTGCCGTCCTGGGCCACGAATAATGAGCTGTAAACGTACGAGTTGGACTTTCCTAGAAAGAAAAATAAAAAGAAAAAGAAGGAAAAAAAAATGCCGACAACACCGGCTTCACGTGGTATGCTGCCCACCCCTTACGGGAATTTAAGTAAAAATGTCAGGTTGATTCACGTGCGGCAGTGGCAGGAGGGTCGCGAGGAAGCCGCAGATTCAACCCAAACCGTATTCCCTCCCTTATCCCCACCGTCGTTTTTCTCCCTTCCCCTCCTGCTCGTCCACTAACCAGGGACGCGATCGTGAAAGCGGTGGAGGTGTGCCACTTGCTGCAGTGGCAGGAGGGGCGGATGAAGGCTTCAAGCCAATATGTTCCTTTCCATCCCACCTCCCGTTTGTCCACGTATCTCTCCCCCCCTCTCCCAGGGACTCGTTTGTGAATGCAGTGGAGGTGTGCCATGTGCTGCAGTGGCATAAGGGGCCGGAGGAGGAGGGCCTCGCAGTCAACTCAAACCTTTCCTCTCTATGCTGCCGCCTCGACTCTATGATCTCCCCCACTTCTCTTCCCCCCACGCAGGGACGCGTTTGTGAATGCAGTGGAGGTGTTTCACATGCTGCAGTGGGAGGAGGGGCGCGAGGCGACGTTCAAGACCACTTTGCAGGCGGCACAGCAGCAGGCAGACCCCACTGTCGTCGTGCAGTCCGTCTGGCGGGTACGATGCTTTGCAGTGCGGTGCAGAGCGGTCCAGGCAAGCTGGCAGGTGCAGCAGTGGGGTGTTTCACGTGCTGCAGTGGCAGGAGGGGCGCGAGGCGGCGTTCAAGGCCACTCTGCAGGCGGCACAGCAGCAATCGGAGGCCATTGTGGTGGTGCAGTCTGTGTGGCGGGTACCATGCAATGCAATGTGGTGCAGAGCGGTGCATGGTTTGGTTGGTGGTACAAGGTGGTGAGGTGCGGGATTGAGCGATTCATGCAGGGATGATTGGGTGTTTATGGAGGTGTGATATGGTAGAGTTGAACGGTGCGGGGGGGGGGAGGGAGGAGGAGGTATGGCGCGAGTGACAGGATTAGGTTCCATTGCAGGCGACAGACCGGCAGGTTGCTGAGGTGACTCGCTGTGGTTGTGCAGCTGAGGGGCTTGCCTTGGCTCAGATCCCAACTCCTTGTGCTCCATGAGGGCTTAGCTGAGGGAGGGATTAGGTTGATATGCATTCGCAGCGCAGTGGGCTAGAAACTGAAGGTTTGTGGATGGGTGCGTCTGGTTGGTTTGTATGGTTGCTGAAGTTGGGTTGGGATGACAGTATAAAGATATTTTATCTTCTGAAACGAAATGTACCTTTTCTTTGTTCTTCCGATTGCCCACCCACCCGCCGTCCCCAACCACACTTCTCCGTGTCTCGCTGTCCCCCCTCTCCGTTTCTGCTCTTCTTCTGCCGCCTCCCTCCCCAGGGCATCCTGCTGGGAGTGGTGTCAGCAGTCTTTGTGCTAGCTATCGCCCTGGCAGTGCTGTTAGGCATGAGATGGCTCAATGCGCGCAGAGCAGCAGCGGCAGCAGCTGAATCCGAAAAGGAGAAGCTCCTGGGCGCCCGACCCAACAGCCGCTTCAACCGCCGAGCCAACGCCGCAGGCTCGGTGTCGTACATGGGCAGCAGCTTTGGCGGAGGGATGAACGGCAGCAGCGGAGGGGGCAGTGGGGGCGGCGGGGCAGGGAGCAAGGCGATATCAGCGTTTGGAGCACACTGCTTCACGTGGGAGGAGATGAGGGAGGCCACTAACGACTTTGCACCCGCCAATGTGATCGGCAAGGGAGGGTTCGGACAGGTCAGTCACCTTCTCCAATCTTCTGTGCAACTCTCCGTCCCGCTGCCAAAGGTTTCTGGTTGGGTCAGGCCAAGTGTGCACCACGTGAAAGACATATGGCCTGACCACGTCATATGAGACCACGTGAAAGTTATATCATGTGCCCTGAGCTGCTCCATGAATTTCTGGAGCCACATCAGAGTTGGTATTGTGGATATAAGCAGGCGTGAGAAGGTGTCATCGTTGGGGGAGCTGCCTCATCTGCCTCTCCTGCTTTCTCTCCCACTACTCCCACTCCCCGTGCGCCCTCCCACCCCCCCTGCCCATCCCCAACAGGTGTTCCGGGGGCAGTTGGAGAGTGGGCACATGGTGGCAGTGAAGCGGCTGGACGTGGGGTCGGATCAGGGCGAGAAGGAGCTCGTCACCGAGGTTGAGCTGCTCACGTGAGAGGGTTTGAGGGAGGCAGCTAACGTCTTTGCACCCTCTCCCACACCACTCCCCTCCCACCCGCACCCACTCCCCTCCCCTCCCTCCCTCCCCCCCTCCCCTCCCCTCCACCACTTCCCCCGTCCCACCCGCCCTCCGCGTGCAATCCCCAACAACAGGTGTTCCGGGGGCAGTTGGAGAGTGGGCACATGGTGGCGGTGAAGCGGCTGGACGTGGGGTCGGATCAGGGCGAGAAGGAGTTTGTCACCGAGGTCGAGCTGCTCACGCGCCTGCACCACCGCCACCTCGTGTCGCTCATTGGCTTCTGTGAGGAGGACGACCAGCGCCTCATGCTCGTCTATGAATACGTGCCCAATGGCACGCTCAGGCATGCACTGCATGGTGAGTGAAAAGATGCATGTCAACCCACCACTGGCAGCACCACTGGCACCATTACTGGGAGCACCACTGGCAGCATCACTGGGAGCACCACTGGCAGCATTACTGGGAGCACCACTGGCAGCATTACTGGGAGCACCACTGGCAGCATTACTGGGAGCACCACTGGCAGCATTACTGGGAGCACCACTGGCAGCATTACTGGGAGCACCACTGGCAGCATTACAAGGAGCACCACTGGCAGCATTACTGGGAGCACCACCGGCAGCACTGCTAGGCCAAACCAGAAATTATGGCCAGTGGTACTGCCGAAGGACTTATTCCACTCTGCATTGTTTTTCGCTGTGCCTTTCAGATGCTGACAAGGCTCGGGAAATGACCTGGAACCTTCGCCTCAGGGTGGCGTTGGGAGCAGCCAGAGGAATCGAGTACCTGCACCGAGGCGCCCTGCCACCTGTCATCCACCGGTTGGTCCTCTTGAAGTCTCGCTCCGCTACTTGTCATTAGCAAGTTAATGTTTTCATGTGGACTGGACTCCCCCTTTTAATATTCTCCTTCTGAACATCGCGCTTTACTGCTCCCATGCACCCATATCTATGCCGTTTTCTCTGTCCCCTTTCCCCTGCCTACATCTCAACTCCCCCAGCGACATCAAGACGACCAACATACTGCTGGACTATCAGATGAACGCCAAGGTGGCGGACTTTGGGCTGTCCCGCCTGGCACAGCAGGCTGTGAGCGGCACGCACCTGGACCTCATCAGCACCAACGTCAAGGGCACCATGGGTGAGTCAGTCAATACAAGTCAACCGCGAGTCAACGGACGTCAACCACGAGTCAACGCAAGCCAACGAGCCTTGGAGTGCAAAGCTGGCGATTGAACTGGACCTACACATGCCTGGCATAGCAGGCTGTGAGCTGCACACAACTGGACCTCATTAGTACCAACGTCAAGGGCACCATGGGTGAGTCAACGCGAGTCAAACATGGTCAACGGCCCATGGGTGAGTGAGTGGGTCAAGAGGACTACGGTGCCGTCCACATGAGGGCAATCACGGTTGTCAAGGAATAGTCAAGGTAGCCATGACTATCTCCCTCTCCTCCCTTGTCTCCCCTCCTACCCCAACTACTACACGAAGCAGCAGCTGACGGAGAAAGATGCGATTCCATGAACTGCTCATCCTTCCTCATTGTCCCTCCTCCACCCATCTCCCCTCCCCCCTTCGCTCCCCCACCAGGCTACCTGAACCCCAACTACTACACAAAGCAGCAGCTGATGGAGAAAGGCACTCTCCCATCCCATGCTGTTCATGAATTCAGACATGAAGCACCTCTCCCTCCTCACTCATCTACCCTCCTCCCCCCTCCCCCCTCTATCAGGCTACCTGGATCCCAACTACTACACGAAGCAGCAGCTGACGGAGAAGAGTGACGTGTACAGCTTCGGGGTCATCCTGCTGGAGCTCATCTCCGGCAAGGTCCCCATCTGGATGGAGCCCCGCGCCCCCCCCGCCACAACCGCTGCCGCTGCTGCTGATGGTGGTGATAGTGCTGGTGGTGATGGTGGTGATGGTGGTGATGGTGGTGATGGTGGTGATGGTGGTGTTGGTGGTGTTGGCAGTGCTGCTGCTGGCGAAGGCAGTGTTGCTGATGATAGTGCTTCTGGCGCTGATGGTGCTGCTGCTGGTGGTGCTGGTGGCGATAGTGGAGGTGGAGGTGGAGGAGGAGGAGGAGGAGGGGTGGAGGGCAGGCAGGTGCATGACATGGACAGTGACGATGATGACGAGGACGACGATGAGGACCGGCTCATGAACCTCGTTGAATGGGTGAGTAACGCACAGCTTGTTTACCCCACGTCCCTCGAACCTCCTGGTTCCCTCGTCCTCCTTTCTCTCCCCTGCAGGCGTCACCGTGCATAGAGGCGGGGAGGGTGGACGTGGTAGCAGCAAGGGACTTTCCTGTTGTTCACTCTTTTAAGATGACCCAAGTGTGGTTCATTCTTGCCAAACATAGTATCAGCTCCGTCTTGTCTCCCCCCCTCCCCTTTGTCTCCCCTGCAGGCGTCACCGCGCATAGAGGCGGGGCGGGTGGACGTGGTAGCAGCAAGGGAGCTGCAGGCGGCGTCAGAGGCGGTGCTGCAGTCCATGCAGGCCGTGGGGGAGCTGGCTCTCGCATGCCTTGAGATGCAGGTGGGCCGTGTGGATCGTTTAGGGTCCTAGTGGGGTTGAGGTAGGCACATCATAGGCACACCTGACGGCCTCAGAGCTGCAGGTGGCATCAGAGGCGGTGGTGCAGTCGTTGCAGGGCGTGGGAGAGCTGGCCCTCGTGTGCCTTGAGATGCAGGTGGGCTCTGCATCCACGAGTGCATTGCATTGCATTGCATTGCACGTCTAGAGTTTAGACAGCTAGACGGCTAGATGGCTGGAAGGCCAGTGGGCTAGAGGGCTGGAGGGTTGTTAAGGAGATTTAGGTAGGCTGATTAGGAGACACTTAGCAAAGGGAGAGCTTCAGCCTGTCTTGCATTGTATAGTCCTATCTCCTGACTGACACATTCCGATCTCCTCATATCGTCCTATCCCTTCCCTCCATTCTTCCACCACACCTTTCCCCATCTTACTCCCCTTTCTTCCCCCCTCTTCCCCCCTCTTCCCCCCTCTTCCCCCCTCGTCTCCCATCTTGCTCCCCCCCCAGGCGCGCAACCGCCCCACCATGTCGCAGGTTGTGCGGCAGCTAGAAGAAATCCAGCTGGCGCTCGCAGAAGAAGACGAGGACGCCATTCAGATGCTGCCCCTCTCCACCGCCTCCACCTCAGCAGCAGCAGCAGCAGCAGCCAACCTCGGGGCCTCCCTCACCGCATCTGGCATCCCTCCGCCTCTCCCTCTGCCCACGGTGGACGAGGATGCCTCAGCAGACTTCTCCCACCCCAGTGCGGCCAGCAACAGCAACGTTTCGGCTTCCAACCGTGCCTCGCCGCGCATTTCCCCTCGCAGTCCTGGCAATGGGGTTGATGCTGCCGGTTCTGGTAGCTTCACCTCCCCACGAGGCACCCACAAGCCAGAAGGGAGTGCTGGTGCTGCTGCTGCTGCTGGTGCTGGTTTTGGTGCTGGTGCGATCAAGTCACCTCGTACTCTCATCACCTCGCCTTACTCCCCTGCCCCGCTCAATCGAACCTCCTCCCTCCCCTCACCTTCATCTTCCCACCCCCCCGCCCTCTCCCCCAAATCGGCACTCTCTCCCTCGTCCAAGCCTGCAGCCTGGGCCAATCAGTGCTGGCCACGTGGCACAGGGAACAGGCCTGGCAGCAGCAGCAGCAAGGGCAAGGAGAAGGGAGCTGGTGCTGCTGGGGAGAATGGCATGCAAGTGCAGGAGGGGGAGAGAATGGAGGAAGTGGAGGTGGGGCAGGAGGGGGAGCAGGTGGAGATTCAGAGCCCTATAATAGAGTCGGACCAGGCACCGCTCAAATCGGCTAAGTACCTCTCCAGCGGCCCATTGTTGTAGCATCTCCTGTAGCCCTGAGGTAACGTTGAAGTCGCCTCAGAAGTCCTCAGAAGTCACCTCGGAGCCCTAAAGACTCAGACCATGCACCTCTCAGTTCATCCAAGTACCTTTCCGTTGGCCTGCTGTAACTCTTTCTGTAGCCGTGCTCTCTTTCTCCCTATTTAATAAGACATTTATGTTGAACGCCCTTTTCTAGTCGCTTTGTGAGGTTAGGATTGAAGTGTGGACTGATTAAGTTGGGCTGACAACCGCCTATGCTATGCTGGGGAATCCAATCTCTGATACAGAGGTAACTTGAGTGGGAGCTTGGATATCTGAAATGTTTGTGAACAGAAGATAGAATGTTATGAATCACGGTAACAAGGGGTCTTAAAACGTGTCTCACGAGTTTGTATGCACCGTACCTTGCCCAACCAAACTAGATGCCTAGCGGACCGTCGCACCGTCGCACCAAGTCAAGCATCCCATTCAGCCACATTCACACGAATGTGTGGGACATACCCTCATTTCGATAATATCGTAGCGCATGTCACGGAAAGTGACGTCTAGTATCTCACGCCACACTTACGCCTATTTCACGCCTGTCCGTCGTCTGATGACTAAATCTCGCCATTTGACTGGCATGGCGACAGCGCACCTCGTTTTCCACTGGGGAGAAGAGGGGAGAGACGAGGGGGAAAAACGAGGGTTCTTACTACCATGAACCGCGCCTCGATTCGCGTCCTGGTGACCGCACATCAAGCCTTCTCGTGTCGCATCGTCTTCACAGTCTAGCAATTCATATACGTTGCCCGAGCACCCACGTTGCCCGCGTACCCACTTTACTGTCTCCACCAGGCTTTCCTTCTTATGCCTCCAGGACGACTTACCCCTCTTTCCTGCGCATCTCTCGTTAGTTCTCTCGGCTAGTCAGAAGGTTCCTCCTTAAACCGGTAAGACAACTTCGTCGCGCATTTGTTGCTCCCATTTCTCCCTTGCAAATTCCTGGTGCACTACTTTTGCTCTGCCTGTATTTTTCTTCCTTCCACTTTTCTTGATTACCAGGGCGGATTGAACTCGAGCATTGGTAACAGGAGTTAGGATTTGGGCACGTGAGGACGGTAATTCGGCACCATGGCTGGGGAAACAGAGCCCAGTGAGTTAACTGAAGCAGTGAGAGGGCTGCTCGGATTGTTGAGAGGGGTTTCTGCATCAACGGAAGGGGAGTTGGCAGCAGTGAAAGAGGAATTAAACGCGTTCAAAGGGGAGTTGGCACTTGTGAAGGAGGAGTTGACTGAGTGTAAGCAGGAGTTGGCACGTCTGAAAGAGGAATTGGCCGAGTGTAAGAGGGAGTTGGGAACAACGAAGGGGTGGCAGTGGGTGGAGGACCTGAGGTTGAATTTGGAGCACCTGATGTTGAATGTGGAGCAGAGATTCCAGCAGAGCACAGGCAACTGCAAGACGATGTGGGAGGTGAGAACAATAGTGTTCAGACTACCGTATATCAGAACTCTCAAGCTACTCAATTGCTTGTCGATATCATCGGCCTCCCGTCGCCCATTGATGATCTCTACTCTATCCTTCCTTGCTCTTTTTCCATGCCCGCCAGAGATTCAAGATAGTAGCTCAAAATGCCATCATTGGCCACGTTTCCACAATGGCTACCTCAGGAAAAATCGTTATCCCTTCTGCTGATGTTAAGCCCTGGGACGAAAAGGAAAGGGAGGTCTCTATCCAGGGAATACAATACAATGGAAAAAAATGAAGGGGTTGGGGAGGGGGGCTTTCGGAGGATTACGGTAAACCACCTGCGCAGTGCAATTATTGTGTGAGTTATACCGTATTCTCCCGGACATAACACCCGGGGGTATTATGATAACCACAGGGAAAAAAGGGGGGGGTCCTCTCAACGGAAATTCCTATATAATACCCGGGTGGTTATATATGGTATATTTTAATGCAACAGTTTGGGTGTTTCAATGGTCATTTCAACATCACAGTTTGAGGCAAGAATGTGAGTTTTGACGAGAATGTGAGTTTCACCTTTCGGGCCACTTGCAGCGGAAGATTCGCCAGCGTGGCGACTTCCTAGAATGTGGGATGGGGGAAATGTCCACTTGCAGCGAAAGATTTGCCAGGGTGGCAACAGCGAGATTGTGGGAGGGGGAAATGTCGGCGGATTCTGGTAAGTGCAAGTACACGCGAAATTTCATCTAGGAAGCGATTCTCGCAACGCAATATTCTCCTGAAAGGAATCAGCTCGATAACAGCTATAATAGGAATCCGTTAGAAAAGGGGGGTGTTATAGAAAATCATCCAAAAAGGGGGGTATAGTAGAAACGAGGTCGCCCATAGCACCCACCCCGCACAAGCAACCCGGGGGTGTACTATCATATGGGGGGGGTGTTTTGTCCGGGAGATTACGGTACCGTATTTGAGTGTTGTCGGAAACTCCTGTGCACTATATTTGAGTGATCTGGTTCCTGTCGGCATGGCTACGGCTACCTATCGACTATTGGAAACAATAGTTCCTAAGCGCCTCTGTCGTGTCGAAACACTAAGGCACAAACGAAGCAGAGCATATCGAGGCACCAGCGAGTCAATCCTCGGAGGTTGAAGTAACTGCTGGAGGTTACGCGAAAGTCAAAGGTCAACGACCTTTGACCTGACAAATACAGCGCGACAGCAAGGACACACAACTGACTCGTTATAGAGCAGTTGCCCGAGTCGTCACTGTATCGAACCGCAACAGCAACAAGTAAAACAGTTATAACCGCACCCTTTCATATTCCTTGTACTCTTATATAATCTTGTATCTCTTTGCTTTAATCAATTCACTTTGCCCTCACATACTAGCGCAAGGTGGTTCACAAACTCTTTATTAAGACGCTTCCGCTACTACATCAACTCTACCCAGAATTCACCTCTGCAAAGATCCTAAGGGTTTTTTCAGCCCAACATGGTATCAGAACTATCAGGGGGAATTCGACTTATATACCAATAGTGTCAATCAGCATGGCTACACAAAAAGGAATGAGCAACTCTAACGGATCCCATGACACTACTCCTACTCCACCTCCTGCCTCTGGCCTACTGACAGAGGAGGGCAAGGCAACAAGACCCAAAGCAACATCTACTAAGACTCCCGCAAATCATCCTGCGGACTTCGACCAGAGCATGATGGAGAAGTTCTTCTCCTTCATGTCCTTCTACGAGCAACACCAGCAATCGGCACCTGCGCAATCACACAACAGCAACAACAACGGAGCAACACCCATGAGTCTCGACGGCTCATCGTAAACAAGAGGAAATCAACAACAGCCTATCTTTGCTCCGTACGAGCGCGGATCCATCAGCTTCATGCCACACCCACAGCCCTCACCTGGACAAGAAAAACAACTGGACGCACTACAAGTTCAGTCGCAGTTCGCACATGTTCTGAAGATGCAGACGTCAATACCTTTCGATGGAAAGGATTTCTTCACCTGGTCATTCGAGTTTGAGCTGATGATGGAAGGCGCGCAGATACTCGGGTTCTTCGACGGGTCCCTGCCATACCCAACAAACGGCACACAGTACGAGAAGCAGCAGTACACCTATCAGTCAATGATGGCGTACACGATCCTACTGAGAAATGTCACCTCGACTCAACAGCAGAACACTTACCGAGGTTACGGTAACTCCGCGGAGCTCGCGTACAACCACCTGAAAAGCCTGTATCAAGCAACAGACAGTGTAAGTCAAAGTCGGTTAATGGCGCAACTCACAACGGTTGAAATGAAACCAGGGGAGAAAGGAATGGCGTATATCAGTCGATGTCGCGAACTGCGCGACAAGCTTCTTCGACGCGGAGGGTCGATTTCTGAAGACGCCTTCGTGACAGTCATCATCGGCGGCCTCGGTCCTCAATGGCGCGCCACAAAAGCCATCCTCCGAGCTCACGGAAGAATCTCTGAAGCAGCGCTCTGCGCCGAAATCCATGCCGAGCAGCAAGACATGGACCTGCAAGAAGAACGACACAGAAAGAAGACTTCAGCACCAGAGTTCGCGTTCCACACCCAGCGACGCTACAACAACAACAACAATCGGCAGCAACAACTGAAGACAGTACCTCCGTTTTGCCACTTCAGGACACCCGCGCACGCACTACCCGAATCGTCAACAATCAACAACCCCGCAGCGGCAACTTCGGCCTTCAAGCAGCCAAGTCGCCTCAACGCAGACAAATCCTACGACTCAGATTCAAGCTTCAAAGACTTCAACAGGACAACCTGCAAAAGAAGCAAGAAACATCGTCAGCTGTATGACAAAGATAACAGACTCCTGCATCACCGAGTCACCACCACACTACTCACCGGAAGAACAACTCGACGAAACCACACCCCGGCGCGAGTCACTTCAGCCGAACCCGACATACGCCGCCATCGCTCAAAGCGAACCATCCGGAAGGGACACTTGGTTCTTGGACAGTTGCTGGGGATAGCACATGTGTTCCTCACGACGCTTCCTTCAACGAGAACACCAGCTTCAACGCGAAGTCGTCATTACAGTAGCCAACAACCAAAACCTGCGAACACGACGACAAGGCGTAGTTCAACTTCAGTCAAGGGAAACAAACGTCGTACTACAGATGTCAAAGGTGTGGAAATAGAAACGAGAATGAATGAACTATGAATGAAGTGGGTAAAAGTACTAACCCTAATTGGGTTGTACCCCCTATGTTATACCCCACTACAGCCTACACAAAAGTATAAGCTATAATGTTCTGACACACCCCCATAGGCAAAGTGGGGGAGAACAAAGGGGTCACAAGACCGGTCAAGCAAAGCAAAGCAAAGCAAGCTCAGGGTGGATCACAACGTCACCACACATTCTGAGCACAAGTTCAAGGCCACAAGGCCAGTTCACATGCAGGAGTACATATATATATAAGGCTAGACAAGCAAGAGCAGGTATATATATATGTAACAGTACAAACAAGGTCAAGAGGTGAGCAAGTGAGGCAAGACAGGGACAAGGCC